GGGCTGGAGGTTGATCTGATGCGCAGCGTACTGAACCGCGAACGGCCACAGAAAATGGGGAGCAGCCGCATGGATCATGGACGTACGAGCGACGTCCATGACCATACCAATGCGGCGCTCAGCAATCCCATTTTGCTGTGGAGAGGCCGGAAGCGTGAACGTCTGGCGGATGCCCTCCGCACGACAGAAGGCCCGCAGAAGGTCAGAGGAAAACTCTCCACCTCTGTCCGAGTGCAGACGCTGAGCAGGAAGGTCCGAGCCAAAACTCTCGCTGAGTTGACGACGAGCAGCGCGGATCCAGTCGATCAGCACCTCAGTGACCTCACCCTTGCGGCGCAAGGGGAAGACTGTGGTGTAACGCGAGTAGTCGTCAACGACCACCAGGAAGTAACGCTCATGACCCTGTCCACGGACGCGGGCGGGGCCCCACACGTCCATGTGAAGAGTCTGCAGGGGAGCCTCCGTCGGAGGGAACTCGGAGGAGTGAGGAGCGGCGCGCTGCCGCCCCTCGACGCAAGGAACGCAGGTAGGGGCAGGCCCCGGGGGGAGGGGAGGGAGAGACCGGGGAAGACCAGTGACAAGCACACGGGAGGCCATGCCTCAAAGACGAGGCAGGGAGGGGTGACCAAGGCGGTGGTGCCAGAGGAGAGTCTGGTGAGACAGGAGGTGACACGAGCAGGGGGCAGACTCAGGACCAGACCAGGACGCTGCAGAAAACACCTGACTCGACGCGGCTACCTGACCAGACTCAGCAACCGGAGGAGGCACGGTAGTCAGGGTGTACAGGCTCGACCCAGGCTGACAAGTGAACGTGGCCAGGTGCCGGCCCGTTGGAGTACACGAACAGTGGGTCACCCGCTGGCCTGCAGGAGTGAACTGGTCAACCCACGCATCCTGAAGGTCAGCTGCACTCACCAAGTTCGTGGAGAATGAGGGAAGGTGGGGGCCAGACAAAGAGCCAGACGGGACCGCCGGACATGGCAGAACCGTGGAGGAGTGTGCAAGGACCGGACCCCCAGAGGGGTCAGCCAGAGAGACTGCCACCGGCCGACTGAGCGGCGAGAGTGTGGTGCAGTCACGAAAGAAGGAGCGGGAAGCACCCGAGTCAAGGGTGAAAGTGTGCAAGACCTGAGCCGACGCGGTACCTGAGAGAGCAGCCTCACCAGCACCTGGAGCAGCAGACTCACTAGCACCTAGAGCAGCAGCCTCGGTGCCCGGGTCGGGCGGAACACACAAGAAACAGTCACCATCAGCACTAATAGACACAGCATACATAGCAGCAAGGATAGCATCATAATCAAGATCAAAGATAGCAACCCCCAACTTAAGCAGATCACCCTAGTGAGGGATCTCAGTGGCGTCTGGAAACTGTGTACGCCAGGCATCAGTCAGGCGGCCGAAACAGCGGAGCATGGCGTGCGGGCCGCCGCACGTCTCTCCACTGCGGTCGCCGGTGCGAAGAACGTAAGTGCAGGGACCAGCACCCCCAGACCTCCCACGCCCAGCGTACCACTCACGAAGCTGCTGGGGCGACAGGGTCTTACGAGGGCGCTGCTGCTGCTGGCGCTGGCCACCGCCAAAGCCTCCCCGCTGCACAGCGCCACCCCAACCAGCACCACCGCCGCCGCGACCCCCACCGCCTCCGCCGCCGCCGCCGCCACCTCCACCCCCACTGCCGCTGCCTCCGCCGCCTCCACCTCCACCACCGCTACCGAAGCCCCCACTCCCGCCACCACCCCCACCTCCACCCCCACCCCCTCCACCGCCTCCACCGCCACCACCACCGCCCCCGCCATCCCCTCCAGCACCCTTGCCCCCCTTGCTCCTGCCGCTGCGGCGCCTCCCACTAGGAGCAGACGCAGCTCCGACCGACTCGGTGCCAACGAGGCCGACAGCAGCAGCAGAGGCAACAAAAGGCAAAAGAGGGACGGGGGAGCACCCCTCAAAGAAAGGGGCACGAGGGTCACCACGAGAGGCTCCTAAAGCGACTATACTCGTCTCTGCTGCAAGGAGGCGCTCCTCGAGGAGGTCAACGGTGAGCGTGGTGGGGCAAAGGGAGAGGAAGTGGTCCCTGACCGACCGAAGGGAGTCAGGGAGCCGGGTGACGAGGTAGTAGAGAGTGATGTACACAGGGGGGGGGGTCGCGGCGCAGAACTCGGCAGGAAGCTCAGCGCGGTAGCAGGTGTCACTAGTGCGGAGGTGCGTAATGAGGTCAGCAACCGTGGCAAAAGCAGCTAGGTCAGGGAACAGGTACGGCAGCATGAGGCGGCTCAGGGCAGCAGTGGCAGGGGAGGAGTAGCGCGCAACAACAGCGTCGTACAGAGTCCTAAGGGTCTTGTACTGGCTAATGTGCGCGCGCTCAGCAGACGGCAGGTGACTACGGACAGCTAGACGAGCAGCAGCATCGCGTGTGGTCCACTGTGATCGAACTGTACTGTCAGCATCGGCAGCAGGGGCAACAGCGACGCCGGACGTGTGGTCGAACAGTGAGACTCCGTCCTTAGAGTCACACTGCAGAAAAAGCTGCAGATCATCAACTCAGACCTCAAAATCGACCGCTCGACCCTCAGCATCAAAGGTAAGGACATTAGGGCTAGCCATGACAGCAGGAGCAATAGCAGTAGCCTAGCTGCAGCAGGAGCAGCGCGACTTGGCGGGACGGCGCGGGTGCAGCGGTGCGCTTACCAGGGTAGGGCCGCCAAGGGCGGCGGTAGGCAGGGCCGCGACAGCGGCAGTAGGCAGGGCCGGGACTGCTGCGGTAGGAAGGGTCGCAGCAGCTGCAAGTAGGACCGCGACAGCGGCCTAGCAGGGCCGCGACAGTTTCAAGCGGGGCCGCGAAAGCAGGGCGGCAGGGCCGCAACGGCTCCAGGCAGGGCCGCGTCAGCAGGGAGGCGGGGCCGCGACAGCAGGGGCCGCTATGGCGGAATGCAGGGGCCGCGACTGGCGGGGCCGCGACAGCAGGGGCCGCGACTGGCAGGGTCGCGTCAGCAGGGGCCGGGACGGCGGAATGCAGGGCCGCGACGGCAGGGGCCGCGACGGGAGGGGTCGCGACGGCCAGGGCCGCGACAGCAGGGGCCGCGACGGTAGGGGCCGCAACTGCCGGGGCCGCGACAGCAGGGGCCGCGACGGTAGGGGCCACGACGGCAGGGGCCGCGACGGTAGGGGCCGCGACTGCTAGGGCCGCGGTGGCAGGGGCCGCGACAGCAGGGGGCGCGACAGCAAGGGCCGCGACGGCAGGGGCCTCGACGGCTCTAGTCAGGGCCGCGACAGCAGGGCAGGCGCACGTGGCGCAGGTAAGGCAGGCGCGAGGCGCGCGACAGGGCAAGGAGCGCGCTTCGGGCAGGGCAGGAAAAAAAAAATAAGTGGTGGGCCCTAAAAAAACGGTCCCACTAGGGAACCTGCTCTATACCATGTGAGAATAGTACGAGGAATGAATGAACTAGGAAAGGGGATGGGTACAAGTATGAAAAGCTAGAAAAGTTGTACCCCATAATGTCTACCCCACTACAGCCTACACAGGCTATATCATATATGTTTGACAGGTACGTGTCAAATTATAAGTTTACAGCTATCTAGGCTGTAGTGGGTTTAGCCTTAGGGGGTACAGTAAATTGCTCGACACTTCATTGTATCCCCCTCCTTGCCCTAATCCACATCATTCCTTCTCAAACTCTCTCAACATTGAACCCTAGCATGGTTTCTACACTCACTATAGCTACTATTTTAACATGCTATTAGAGTAGGTCGCTTCTAGGACCTAATGTTCATGGGCCCACAACCTACTGCCCTGCTAGCCTAGGCCTCGGCCCGTCGCCCCTTGGCGTCGCCTCTAGCCCCTAGGCTCGGCCCCTTGGCCCCCTCGCCCCTAGCCGCGGCCCCTAGGCCCCGTCGCCTCGGCCCCTTGGCCCCGTCGCCCCTAGCTGGAGCCCCTCGGCCCCTTGGCCCCGTCACCCCTAGCCGCGGCCCCTAGGCCCCGTCGTCTCGGCCCTTCGCGACCCTAGGCATGTCGCCCCGTCGCCTCGACCTCTTGGCCCCGTCACCCCTAGCCGCGGCCCCTAGGCCCTGTCGCCCCCAGCTGCGGCCCCTCGCGACCCTAGGCCCCGTCGCCTCGGCCCCGGTGCCCCGTCGCCCCTAGCCGCGGCCCCCCAGGCCCCGTCGCCCCCCAACTGCGGCCCCTCGCGACCCTAGGCCCGTCGCCCCGTCGCCTCGGCCCCTTGGCCCCGTCACCCCTAGCCACGGCCCCTAGGCCCCGTCGCCCCCAGCTGCGGCCCCTAGCGACCCTAGGCCCCGTCGCCTCGGCCCCTTGGCCCCGTCGCCCCTAGCCGCGGCCCTCGTCGACCCGTCGCCCCGTCGCCCCTAGCTATGGCCCCTCGTGACCTGCCGCCCCTAACCGCGGCCCCGTCGCCTCTAGCCTCGGCCCCTCGCGACCTGTCGCCCCTAGCCGCGGCCCCGGTGCCCTGTCGCATCATGGAGGGTAAGGGGGTGGCAAGAGGGGTGACGGTTTCTTCATGCCCGCATGCCCTGCAGTCGCACGCGCAGCTCCGCCCCCGCCCCCCTCCCCCCCCTCTCCCCCCTCCATGGGGACGGCGGGGAGAGGGTGTGAGGGGGTGGTGGATGTGCCTCAGCAGCAGCAGCTGTCGCCACGCCTCCTCCTCTCTCTCTCCCTGCCGCACCTTGTGTTGGGAGGGGGGGGGGGGCTTGGAGGTTCAGGGGGAGGCAGGAGGGGATCTGCAGCACCAGCCCCCCCCGCCCTTCCCCCCCCCCCCCCCCCCCTCCCTTCTCCTCCATCCTCCTGCTGTGGGGGGAGAGGATCTGCAGCCCTGTGCGCCCCGCGCGCCCTGCTGCCCTGCAGCCTTGTGCGCCCTGCTGCCCTGCTGCCCTGTGCTCCCTGCGCGCCCTGCAGCCCTGCTGCGCCCCGCGCGCCCTGCTGCCCTGCTGCCCTGTGCGCCCCGCGCGCCCTGCAGCCCTGCGCGCCCTGCGCGCCCTGCTGTCCTGCTGCCCTACGCGCCCTGCAGCCCTGCGCGCCCCGCGCGCCCTGTTGCCCTGCAGCCCTGTGCGCCCTGCTGCCCTGCTGCCCTGTGCGCCCCGCGCGCCCGTGCAGCCCTGCTGCGCCCCGCGCGCCCTGCTGCCCTGCTGCCCTGCAGCCCTGCGCGCCCTGCAGCCCTGCTGCGCCCCGCGCCCCCTGCTGCCCTGCTGCCCTGTGCGCCCCGCGCGCCCTGCAGCCCTGCGCGCCCTGCGCGCCCTGCTGTCCTGCTGCCCTGCGCGCCTTGCGCGCACTGCAGCCCTGCGCGCCCCGCGCGCCCTGCTGCCCTGCTGCCCTGCAGCCCTGTGCGCCCTGCTGCCCTGCAGCCCTGTGCGCCCTGCTGCCCAGTTCGCCCCGCGCGCCCTGCTGCCCTGCAGCCCTGTGCGCCCTGCTGCCCTGCTGCCCTGTGCGCCCCGCGCGCCCTGTAGCCCTGCGCGCCCCGCGCGCCCTGCTGTCCTGCTGCCCTGCGCGCCCTGTGCGCCCTGCAGCCCTGCGCGCCCCGCGCGCCCTGCTGCCCTGCAACCCTGTGCGCCCTGCTGCCCTGCAGCCCTGTGCGCCCTGCTGCCCTGTTCACCCTGCGCGCCCTGCTGCCCTGCAGCCCTGTGCGCCCTGCTGCCCTGCTGCCCTGTGCGCCCCGCGCGCCCTGCAGCCCTGCGCGCCCTGCTGTCCTGCTGCCCTGCGCGGCCTGCGCGCCCCGCGCGCCCTGCTGCCCTGCAGCCCTGTGCGCCCTGCTGCCCTGCAGCCCTGTGCGCCCTGCTGCCCTGTTCGCCCCGCGCGCCCTGCTGCCTTGCAGCCCTGTGCGCCCTGCTGCCCTGTGCGCCCCGCGCGCCCTGCAGCCCTGTGCGCCCCGCGCGCCCTGCTGCCCTGCTGCCCTGTGCGCCCTGCTGCCCTGCTGCCCTGTGCGCCCCGTGCGCCCTGCTGCCCTCTGCACGCGCCATACACAGCCCCTACCCCGCCCTCCCCCCCCCCCCCCCCCCCCCCCCCTTCTCCTCCATTCCCCTGGTGCGGGTGTCGCAGTGGGGGGAGGGGATCTGCAGCACCAGCCCCCCCCCCCCCCCTCGTCTCCTCCATCCCCCTGCTGCGTGTACAGCAGTGGGGGGGGGAGTATGGGGGTGGCGGGATCTTGGAGGGTATGGGGGTGGCGCCCCTCCTCCTCTCTCTCTCACGGCCGCGCGTGCCACTGTGGGGGGAGGGTGAGGCGGTGGTTTGTTGACTTTTTTGCTCATCTGCCGTAGCCATGCCCTGCTTGTACTCGCACCTGTATATCTTATGTAACCTCTTGGACTGGCCTTGTGGCCGCTTACTAGTGCTCAGAGTGCGTGGTGATCTTGAGATCCACCCTGAGCTTGCTTTACTTTGTTCCTTCTCCTGACTGGTCTTGTGACCGCTTTGTTGTGTTTGCTATCCCCCACTTCGCCTATGGGGGTGTGTCAAATTATAAGTTTACTGCTATCTAGGTTGTAGTGGGTTTAGCCTTAGGGGGTACAGTAAATTGCTCGACACTTCATTGTATCCCCCTCCTTGCCCTAATCCACATCATTCCTTCTCAAACTCTCTCGACATTGAACCCTAGCATGGTTCCTACACTACTACCGTATTACCCCGGACATACCACCCTAGGGTGCTATGATAACTACACAAAAAAAAGGGGGGGGTTCTTGTCATCGGAAAAAGCTACATTGCACCCGGGTCGTTACATAATGTATACTTTTTTTAGAGCACAAAAGGTTGAGAACAAAATGTACATGTTTGATGCGGTAGTAGATTGTTGGTTGGGTGCGCAAAACCGAGGACTGGGCGATAACGTTAGTCTCGTGGGTTAGCTGCCACATTGCAAGCTCCAACAAGGCCCACAGTCTGGCCCTGATTGGAAAGAAAACACACCCCCTCGTCGCTCGACGAGGATTCATGCAGTCACAAAGGCGGAGCGCCCGCAACAGCCTCAGCTGCCTCGCTGAGGCGGTCACGTCCTTGTACTAAGAAGGAGTTCATCCTTCTTTCTGTGCAGCGGCTCCATTCCACGAACTCGAGCAATGCTTGGCAGAGTGTGCTAACACCAACTGCCTCCTCGATCCCTTTCCTAGCATAAATTCAAGGATTCCATGGCCTGTGACACCAACGTTCACTAGGCTTAGATGGCTACCTCTCCAGACTCCAGTAGCACAGTGGTTAGGCGGCAGCGGCCTTCTGTCACCCAGTCACCCGCTGCTGCGGGCACACGGCGTTCGCCCCGGCCCGTCCTGCTGCAGCCGTCACCCCCCGTGAGTCGCGCCACCAACGATGAACCGAGCAGCAGCGCGACCCGTCCTATGCCGGCGCTGCCGAAGGTGAAGATTCCTTCCTTCCCAGAACAAACACGCCCCCAGGGACCTCCGAAGCGCAACGCGGATGCCGACGCTCCTTCCCCACGTCATCGCATGACGAAACGTGTTCGTCATGCGTACACCGCCAAGGAGAAGCTCCACTGGCTGAAATTGCAGGAATCGCAGCCGGACCTGTCAAATCGAGCTTTGGCCAAGCTGGCGAAGGTGCAGCCCTGCCAGATCCGCGAGTGGAAGCGGATGAAGGAGCGTCTGGAGGTCGCCTCTGGATGCCGCCGTCGCCTCATGGGAGCTGGGCGCCGCGCGAAGTACCCGTTCATGGAACGAGCCGTGTATCGGCAGTTTCTTAAGCACCGCGCTAAGGGACTCGCCGTATCGGTCAGCATGCTGCAGCAGTGGAGCGCCAAGTTCATGAAGCATCGGATGCCTGGCGTGATTTGGCGCGCTTCACAGCGCTGGACTAATCGTTTCTGCGCTCGCTGGCACCTGGCTCGACGGGTGAAAACAAAGATGGGCCAGAAGTTAGCTGCGGGTAAGTTGTCCTTGAATGGATGCATCTCTATCTGAGCTGTGCTAGCTCTTAATGTTTTCTCTGTGTTTTGTTGTGCGTGCAGATTGCAAGGCTAAGGTTGAATCCTTCTGGGAGTTCCTGATGCGGATGCGCACCCTCCACGACTACCCGCTCGACCTGATCGTGAACGCGGATCAGACTCCTCTGTTTTTGGAGATGCCGGCCGAGCGTACAATCGAAACGAAGGGAGCGCGGACGGTCCACGTGCGCACTGCCGGCTACGAGAAGGAACGCGTCACTGTCATGCTGGCAGTGACGGCGGGAGGGCTGAAGCTTCCTCCATATGTCATTTTCAAACGCAAAACCATCCCCAAAGTGCCCATCCCAGCTGGTAAGTATCCAGCTATTTCAATCTTCACTCTAGTTGTTGTATCCATTACTCCCTCTAACCACTCGCTCTCTTTGCGTTGTGAACGGCAGGTGTGGTCGTCCGTGCACAAGAGAAGGGGTGGATGGACGAAGGCCTTGTGCAGGACTGGATAACCCAGGTACTTGTGCCGTTTCTGAAGCCCATCCGCGAAAGAGCCGGACGCCGCAGGGAGGCGTTGGTCGTCCTGGACTCCTACCGCGGCCATTTGACCGAAGCCGTCGGTCAAACCATGCGAATGTTCCGTCTGACGCAAGCGGTCATCCCGGGGGGGTGCACCCCGCTTCTGCAGCCGCTAGACATGTCCGTGAATCGCGCGTTCAAGGCCGGTACGCGTCACCGCTGTGGCACTTGGTTTGAAGACATCGGGATCAACACGAGGACGCGTGCAGGTGAGATGGTCCCTTGCTTTCCGATCGTGTTGTTGTGCATGCGTGCCTGTGTATTTCATCAAACAACTCGGTGCGTGCCTTGCCCATCCCTCAGGCAATCTGCAAAAGCCTCCCGCGGAGACGGTTCTGAAGTGGATCGACGAGTCCTGGCAGGAGGTCGCAGAGGAGCTGATCAGGAAGTCCTTTGTCACCTGCGGGATTTCCACCAAGCTCGACGGCAGCGAAGACCACCTCGTCCTCGCACACCTGCGGGACAAGGGTGAGGTGGAAGTGCCGGAGGATGTGAACGATATGGTTGAAGACGAGGTCATCCCCAACCCCTACTTCGAGGAGGCCCGCGTGCCGGCCGAGGTGCTGCAGGCGGACGACGACGCCATGCATGTGGAGCAGGACGAAGAGGATGCGGATGCGGAAGACGGAGATGGGGAAGGGTACGGGGCTGGAGAAGATGGGGATGCAGATGAGTGGAGCGAGGCCGGCTCTGACTGGTGGCTCCCCGACCGCTTTGACGGAGAGGAGGTTGAGGAATGGAATGCTGGGGACGAGGAGTAGGAGGAAGGGCTTCTTCTGTGTAGGTAGATAGCATTCTGTCTGGATGGTAGTAGGCCCCATCTGAATGAAGGAAAGACTGTGTGATGGGAGTGATATCGCTGTATAGCGTCAGACGTAGCTTGTTTGTGCTAATGTTAACATGTAGATGGTTAATCATTGGAAACCCAGTGCTATTTAGGCAAAAACTACAATATTACCCGTACATAACACCCCCCCCCCCGGGTGCTATACCGTATCGCCCCAAAAGGGGGGTATAGTAGAAATGAGGCCCGCTATAGCACCCCCCCCGCACAAGCCACCCGGGGGGTGCTCTATTTCGGCGGGTGGTATGTCCGGGGTAATACGGTATTCTAACAGTACGTACAAAGAAAATTACTTCAGCCTTATAACAAAACCTCACACTGAATTGTGAGAGTTAATTCCAGCACCGACGCTGAATTTTCAGCCTTTTTTTTTCTAGGTAACGCTGATCATCAGCGTTTTTCTTTGTACCAACGCTGATGGATCAGCATGGTCCAAAACGATTCTAGGGGCCTGGCGTGAACCTTGAAGCTGTTGGGCTGAGTGCCCCTTAGGATCTTTGGTAGGGTTAAACTCTGGGTAGAGTGATGTAGTAGCGGAAGCGTTTAAATGAAGTCCTTGAACCACCTTGCGCTGGTATGTGAGGGCAAAGTAAGTTGATTAAAACAAGCAAGTATAAAGGTTTATATAAGAGTACAAAGAATACGAAGAGATATAATTAAACTGTTTTACTGTTGCGGTTCGATACAGTGCGACTCGGGCAACTGCTCAATGTCGAGTCAGTTGTGTGTCCTTGCTGTCGCGCTGCATTTGTCAAGTCAAAGGTCGCTGACCTTTGACTTTCGCGTAACCTCCAGCGGTTACTTCAACCTCCGAGGGTTGACTCGCTGGTGCCTCGATATGCTTTGCTTCGCTTGTGCCTTGGTGTTTCGACACGACAGAGGCGCTTAAGATTGTTTGTTCCCAACACTCCCCTTCGTTTCTGGAGTGTCGCTGCTGGTGACGTGGCTTTGTCCAGTCAGCAGCATGCAGTACTCGAACTTCTGTTTTCCGAGCTTCTTGGTCAAGTAGTCAGCTGCCATCTCGGACGTGGGATAGTAGGATAGTTCAAGTCTCCCCTTCTCAATCTCGTCTTTCACGAAGAAATACCGCAGAGCGATATGCTTCGTTCTGTTCGCGAATCCATTTTTGTTGGCGATGCGAATTGCAGATTGGTTGTCGCAGAACAGAGTGAAGTTGGGTAACTCGGCTAACTTCGCTTCTTCCAGCAGCTCGCGAAGATAGAGTCCTTCCTTGGTGGCTGAGCAGAGTGCAATATATTCTGCTTCAGCTGACGAGAGAGCAATTAATTCCTGCTTGCTCGATTTCCAGGAGATCGGTCCGATAGGTTCGAGGCGGTAGATGTAGCCGGTGCGGGAGCGCCTGTTGTCGGAGTCGCCAGCGTGATCAGCGTCGACGTAGCCGATTAATTTAGTCGGTGTAGTTGTGTTCTTGTAGTAAGTTAGGCCGATCGTTGAGGTACTGACGAAGTAGTGGAGAGCGCGGTCGAGCTCCGCCAGGTGTTCTGCTTCAGGCTTCTTGAGGTAGGTGGCGAGCTGGCTTGCGGAGTATGAGAGGTCGGGGCGGCAGGTGACAGCTGCGAAGAGAAGGCATCCTAGCTTTCTCTAGTAGTCACGTATCCCGGCGGATTTGAGTAGAGAGGATCCTTCCTTGTGGTTTCCTGTCGCGTAGCGGTAGGGCGTAGAGATGGTGGTAGGTGTGAGCGCGAAGCGTTTGGCGATGGTGTCGGCGTACTTAGCGGCGTTGAGGTAGATCGCGCCTTCTTCTTCCCGAATGTTCAAGCCGAGGTACTGTGTGACGGTAGAGGAGACCGTGAGTGTGAGGTCCCTCTGTAGCTCCCCTTCGAACCAGGTGGTGATGTCGTCAGTGGAGCCGATGTAGAGTAGGTCGTCTACGTAGACGATCAGCAGAATGTAGTCGGTGTCTTTAGTGAGTCGGTACATTCCTTGGTCGTGAGGTAGTTGGCGGAATCCGATGCGAATGAGGCGAGCGTGTAGGTACTGTTGCCATAGCCGCGGAGCTTGCTTGATCCCGTAAAGTGATTTCAGCAGTTGACAGACTTGGTTAGGTTCCCCGTTGGTACCGTGTGGGAGCTCGACGAAGATTTCCACGTCGACAGGTGCGTAGAGGAACGCGTTGGCGACATCGATTTGCCGTAGCTTCCTTTTCTTCATGGCGGCGATCGCGAGGAGGATTCGAAGTGAGGTATGTCGGCTAACCGGGGCGAATGTCTCGGTGAAGTCCCGTCCGTGCTCCTGATCGAATCCACGCACAACCCAGCGTGCTTTGAACTTCTCAATTGTGCCGTCTGCTTTTGTTTTAACGCGGAAGACCCATTTCCCGGTGAGAATGGTCTTGTTCCTTGCCACGCTGATGGGGACAACTTTCCAGGTGTTCCGTTCCTCCAGCGCCTTTAACTCTCTGTCCATGGCTTCACGCCATTTTTCCCTGTGTTCCCCCCCCAGAGCCTGCTGAACCGTCGCAGGCTCCTTAGGAAGAGTGTTGCCGTGGACTGCGGTGACGAGTCCGAGAATCTGCAGTCCAGTCT